GTAGCTGAAGTTAAAAACCTGCTGATGAACCAAGTTATGGTACTGGAGCACGGAGAAGTTGCTTGGTCGCGTCCTACAGATTAGGTCGCTTTCATTTTTTTGCCGCTCTGCAGTTAATAGGCAGACGAATGCAGATGCAAAGTCTTACATTTCTTTATACAAACATATGTACGAAAAAAGTGCATGTGTGTGTACAGAAATACCACCATACGTACTTACATACTTACAGAAATGTGTACATATGTATGTATATAAAAATATCTGGTTTTTTGTTGTTTCCAAGAACCGACCAAAGTTCCCTCATAAAATAAGACTAAATGTGTGCATGGAAATGTCCATACATACATATACATATATGTATGTAGATAAATATGTATGCATCTCCGTTCACATACAGAAATACATATGTGTGTATGTATTACCCGCTGCCAGGGCATCTTTCGTCCATTTCATAGAGGGAAGAGAAGACTTGGAATGACTTGAATAAGACGTTAAATTACAAAAGGAAGGCATATAATGAGAACGTAGGAGCGCACAGCAAGCGCATTTTAAGGCCTGAATCCAGCCCCGCTGTGCTCTCGCAGGCAGAGAATCTGCTTGAGTCCAAACGTTCGTTGTCTGTGACTTTTTCGAAACACAAGTAGTAAGCCCTCAGCCACGCCACAGGTTACCAAAAGGTCGTTTTATAGACATCGTGGCTCGTTGACTACCCCGGCCAGGGCATGGGCATTGACAAATTTCAGAGTCAGTGTCTGCAGGTACAATGCAGATCGCACACAGATACACACTGATTCTCTCACAACACATTTCTTCCTCGTACATAAGCATGTATACATACATATGTACCTCTTTAGTGAAGTATTTTATTTTTTTATTTTTTACTGCTCTAAAGTTCAGAAAAAAACATTGCCTTTTTTAATGCCTATTACAAATTTTTATCTACGATTTACAAAATATAAATATAAACCTATTTCTGGACGAAAGAAATTTATATAAAAACGTTTTGTACGTACTTATATTTTTAAATAAAATTGTTTCTGAAAATTTTTTTTAAATGATTCTTAAAATATCTTTAGAAACAAATCAGGTTTGTCAGAAGGCATCGAACTTTTGTTCCCCTAGTGCAGCTGTATAATATTTATATTAATCTAATCAATACGTGGTACTTAGATATGGGACATACAGTAGCGGACATTGAAATGTGGACACTCAAAAACAAGTGCTTTTTTCTGTTTTATAAAGTTTTGGTATGTTTCCAAAGAAAAAAACTTATTTAACTAAGTAAACAATTTAAACACCCAAGGAAACACTCCAAAAGTTAAAACACAAATGTCCTTGTTTTCGAAAGAATCCTTAAATTAAAAATTATTCACTTTTTCATACAATTTTCATATATACACAAAAAATTCATTACTAATTTTTGGTAAGAAAAAACAAAATTTATTTTATTGCGTTTAAGAACACGACTATTAGGAAATACAAAATTTGTTATATTAATATTTAGTTGAACCTCCTCTATTTTTTATAATTAGTTTTATGCGTGATGGCATTGAATCTATTACATTCCTGATGATTTCGATTGTAATATCTTCATTCTACACTTTTTCAATTATCTTGTCCAATTCTGACAATGTTTTGGGTCTCTGCTTCGTAATGAAAACCTTCATAGCGTGCCAAAGGTTTTCGATCGGGTTGAGATCAGGACTATTTCCTGGCCACTCCAACGACGAAATTCCCACTTCTTTTAAATAACTTTTTATCTAAAAAAATCAATTGGTGAAAAATTAAACTATTTTATAAATCAATAGACAATTGAATAACAAAGTTAAAACAAATATTACTTACCAATTTTGCACGGTGGCAAGGAGCAGAATCATCCTGAAAGATGACACAGTCGGTAGGAGAAAATTGTTCCTCAATTGAGGGTATGAGGTTTTCTTCTAAAATGGCTTTGTATTAAACTGCGTTTACAGATCCGTTAAAGATGATGACCAACTCCATAATATCAAAAACATCCCCAGATCATCCTGCTCCCTCCTTGCCTCACCGTTCTTTTGAGGCACTCATCCTTATACAGTTCTCTGACTTTGCGACGAACGTACGTCATGCCATCTGAACCAAATAGGTTTATTTTAGATTTATCGGAGAAAATACCGTTTCTCCAATCTTCTACAGTCCAAGATTCGTGAAGTTTGGCCCATTGGATCCTTTTTTTTTCGCATTTTTAGTGTTAATAAAGGTCATATTGCTGGCCCAGGACCGTTAAGTCATGTCTCCTGAAGACGCCGTCGTTTATCTTTGGTGCTAAAATCGATACCTACCGATTCAAAAAACTCTCTTCTAATATCTTATATCATTTTGAACCGATCTTCGACGCCCAATCGTTTACGAATATGATCCTACTTTGAAGGTCCTTTGGGGTGGTCTTCCTCTTACTTCCTGAGGCGGGTAGTCGTGTTACCGAACAGAATTTTTAGAAATCCTTTAGTAAATTGTGTTTTGAGGACTTACTCATACTAAATTTGGTGCTAATAGCGCCAAAACTAAAATTATTTGACCGCAAACACAAAATGGCTGCCTTCTCAGTTTCAGTTTTTTACGAAATTTTTTACATTTTTAATTTTTGTTTGAAAGAGAAGAGAAGACTCTGTGCAAAACATCCAATATAACAAACGAATAGTCATAGCTTCTAATATAATAAAATTATATTTTTTTAATTTGTATCGTTTAATAATGGAAGGCATTTTATGAAAATTTTCTCATTTTTATACCCGTACTCAAAAAAGAGTTAAGGGGTATATTAGATTTGTGGTAAAAGTGGATGTGTGTAACGCAGAGAAGGAAACGTTTCCGACCCCATAAAGTATATATATTCTTGATCAGCATCAATAGCCGAGTCGATAGAGCCATGTCTGTCCGTCTTGTTTGACGCCTGGATCTCAGAGACTATAAAAGCTAGAGAAACCAAATTTTGTTTCCAGACTCATGTGATATCACACTGCTACAAGTGTATTTCAAAATTTCGCCCCGCCCCCTTCCGCCCCCACAAAGTACGAAAATCTGTGGCAGCCACAATTTTAAAGATACGATAAAACAGTTTTATAGAGAATGACCATATCTACCAGATTGCCGAATCTGAATTAAATCGGATCATAATTATAGCCAGAATGAAGAAATTAATTTTCAGTTGCTTCCCCTGCCCCCTCCTGCCAACGACATCACAACTCATTTTCCTTCTCGCTCGCACACTCTGCCGCGTGTAGTGCGCGAGCAACCCCTAGCGGAGGAGATGTAGAATATACATAGTAGATGTAGATAACAGATGTAGCAAAGAAATGTAAAATGTAAAATTTTTTTATTTTATTTTTTTTTAATTCTAAAAAATTATAAGCTCAAAAATGTATATACTGACTGAGTACGGGTATAAGTAGAGTCGCGTTCCCAGAAGCGACTCACACGTTCCTTCTCGTTTATTTATTTTTTGATGATAGCTAAAATATAAAAATTAATTTCAATTTAAGATATGAATAATGAAAATAATTATTCCTAAGTTTTGAGGACTATGTATATCTTAAAAAAATGTTATGTTGTAAAAAGTTCCCGGGTATTGTGTTTCAATTTATAAATTTTACAATGACAAAAGTTGCACTCCACAAAAGTCTAACAGAAGATTTTCAAATGGAAAAACGACCTTCCGCTCCAACAAAGGACGGAGATCTGTGGCATCCACATTCAATTTTGAATATACGAAAATACCTACGCAGGATCGTAACAGATTGCCGAATCTGATTCAGATCGGATCATTATTAAAGCACGAATGAAGAAATTAATTTGCAGCTTTACTAACAGCAGTCAAATTTTAACTTTGTAGCCAGTGCATATTTTCCTTTGTAAAATTATTTGTCCGCGACTCTACCTTTATACCCAAACTCAGTCAGTATATATGTGACCTTATGACCTTTTTTCTTTTGTGAAAGCGGAAGGAGGCGGGGCAAAAGTTTAAAACAAACTTGATTCAGTGTGACACCACATGAGACTGGAACCAAATTTTGTTGCTCTAGCTCTTACAGACTCTGAGAACTAGGCGACAAACGGGTGGATTTACGTACGGTCAGACGGACGAACCGAACGGATGGACGGACTGACAGAAATGGCTAAATCGACTCGGCTATTGATGCTAATCAAGAATATATATTCTTTATGGGTTCGAAAATGTTTCTTTCTCTGCGTTATCCACTTTGACCATAAATTTAATATACCCCTTAACTTTTCTATTGCGGGTATCCTCTAGATTGGCTGTTTTGCCCAGTGTGAGACGCCGAGATAGCATCAAAAGTGAGGGACTAGTGTGCATAGCTATTACATTTGTACAAACATATGTACACATATCGCTGTATCAACAGACATTCCAAAAGTATAAATCTGAAAATATGTATTGATTCAGGATTGGAATCTAGAATTTAAAAACAGCTGGTATAAGATTCTTTCCAAGGCTAAGTCCTCGAATCTACGAGGTATTGAAGGTTTGACCAGACGTTCATAAAACACAAAAAAAAGATGCTCAAAACTCAAAAAGTATTCATATATGTATGTATATATGTATATTTTCTATGTCTGTCGTGTCAGTTTCTATGCGAACCACTTCCTCCTTCATTTTCAAACCGACTCTTATTTTTGCTGCACCTAGTACAGAACTACGATGCGTCAAGATCGGACAACTTTGTAATTACAAAATTGTATATTTCCTTTGCTAATAAAGATAAGCAGCCGAAAATAATATAAATCGGATTATTATATCTTTAATGACTGCTATAAACAAAAACAACTGCTTGAGGAATGATTTTTCATAATAATGCAAGGATAATATGAAGAATTGGCAAGCACAGAATGTTGTAATTTTTGTTTCACGATTATTAGAAAATGATAAATATATATCCATATGCCACTTTTTACGAATTGATAAAAACTTTCAAAAAAAAATGTCATGAGCATGTCGGTAATATGTTAAGAAATTTTTATTATAATATGCACTCAAATTTAAATGAATAGATAGTCTAAAAGGAATTATACATTTATGCTGCGCATTTTCCATTCAGATGAGAAGAGTATGTATGCCTGACTTTTATTTTATTTTAAGTATAGATGGTAATATACACATTTACCTCATCATGTTCGTTGGCATCATAAGCCCGGATGCAACGAAGTAATTTCTTCATTATTATTTTTTTGTATTAATTGAGCAAAGGTATACTATACCCTTGGCGCTACTCATTTCGAATTTTTAAGAGTATGTATGCAGTATGCATGTGTGTTTATATATGGTATGTATGTATATGTACACATGAAAACTTATCCATATACATGCCACCACACACCAAGAAAAAATCAAAGAGAGCATAATATTGTGAAGGGATAGATAGGGAGAGAGACGACTGTAGGACAGCGAGATGGGAAATCCAGAGAGTCGCAATGTGGGAGCGGCGTGCCGATCGTTTTTACGTCTGAGGCATAGCAAAAACAATAAAAGTCTATTCGTTAAAATTCGGTTGGTGCCGTCCAGGCCGTAAAAACGAACCTACCTGCCATTGGACCAGATCGGGAGAGAGAGCTGAGCCTTATTCGGTTGTAGCGGAAAAGTAGCCAAATCGTCAGCTCTAAGGGCAAAAAGTATCTTAAATTAGTATGTGTGAATGTGTATTCTGTTTTGTGTATATTGTATGGCCATCTTCGATCTGCCCGCCTTCGCTGACTGTTCGTGATCTGTAGCTATACACTTGAATCTGTGACGCACTTGCACATGTATCTGTGCGCTTGTGTTGTATTTTAAAATGTATCTGTGTAAGCATCTGCAGCAGTATCTGTGAGAGGAGACGACGTGCGGTGCTGGTGCTCCATCTAAGCAAGCGAAGCATTGCAAGAGATAGAGTTGCTGCCACTCAGTCCACTCGCAAGAAACACCGCAATAAGACGCAGCACACACTCGTTATTGACTTTGTCACACTTAATTTATTTTTGTTGGCTGAAAGTTAAAATAAATTAAGCGATTAATTTGGGTGCTGTGTGTAACCTCATGATTCGCGTACAGTACTCACCCGCGTGTGATCACTGTTGGGGAAACAAGTGAATATATTTAAAAATTGTTAAACAAGCATTGCAACCACTATTTGTGTCCTGGGAATTATATACGAGTGGTTCCTGGAAAAATATTTACTTACAAAAGCGGAAATATATTAACCTTTTGTGCTATTTGTGTCAGTGTCTTGTTAAAATGAATATGTTTCCAAACGCCGCTATAATTTAATACGAAAGTGCCGACGGTAAAGCCATGATGTGAAAAAATAAAATTACGTTAACTTATACGACGTTTAAAGAAACGTTTAGAAACATCTTTAATCTGGATAAATAAAACCAACATGGACGCGTACGCTTTACCAACTTATTTTCCCCTTGCGTAAGTTGAATTATACTGAGCTATCTGTAAACATTCATACATATGTAAATTTCTGGGATCATATACTTGATGGGTTTTCAGTGTACAAAGTACACTGTAAACGGTTTCTACGGCCGATTTCGAAATGTTCTTCCCGAAGTCCTAAATGTTCATAAATAAATAGCGTTGAAGTTTGATCAAACCTGTTATTTTGTACACTTGGAAAATGTATACGAATAATAATACTTTTAATAATAATAATTTAATGAAATTGATATTCGGTCTTTCCATCAACATATAAATACATATGTACATATATATTATGTCTTTCACATATTCGCCATAAAAAACGGTTCCACTTTAATTCAGTAAATTTTAACTATTGTATTCTTAGAATGTCAAAATATTGTATGAAATATTTACCAAAAACGTGATAACGCATGATATTTTTAGCAATGCAGCTAACCGATTCAATAGAGCATACCAAATTCCATCGGAATAATTTTCAACTGTGCCATCCAATAAAAATAGGACCGTGTTCAGTATCAATTATACCGTGAGTTAATTTTTGCAGTTAGCATGACCGTCGTGTAAAAGAAAGTTTTAATAAATTATAATAATTAAACCCACATTTTCTGACTACAAAAAATGTTAAAAACACTTCTTATCAGCATGAACTACCGCTTTCCTATGGCTTTATCGGTTCTCAGTTGTCCCCTGAAAATCTATGCATGCTATAGCCGAGCATCTGTCCGTCCGTCTTGTTTGTCACCTTGTTCTCAGAGACTATAAGACCTAGAGCAACCAAATTTTGTTTCGAGACTCATATGATATCACACTGCTTCAAGTGTATTTTAAAATTCCACCGGGGGTGGGAATTCCGCCCCACAAAGAACGAAAATCTGTGGCATCCATAAAAACTGAAAAAGCAGGGTCTAAGAAAAACACATATATCAGATTACCGAATCTGGTACAGATCGGATCATTATTATAGACAGAATGAAGAAAAAATTTTCAGTTGCTTAACCCGCCCCTTGTAGCACTTCAGACGCTACTTATTCTCTTTCTCGCTCGTACACACTCTGCCGTGTGCAGTGCGCGACCTTTCGCGGAGATGTTGAATCTACATTGCATATGTATAATCTACATTGTAGGTACATTTCAGATGTAGATTACAGATGTAGCAAAAATAAAGTAAAATATAAAATTATTTAAAATTCCATATTGTACATCATAGTCTCACATATTTATACACGGACTGAGTGCGGGTATAAAAGTAGAGCTGCGTCCACAGAAGCTACTCAAAATTTCCTTCTCGTTTGTGTTGACTTTTGTGGATTCGGGGAAAATCTGTTTCTGACATCCTGAGCTATCCCCATCGCTGACGATACGATGGATAGCTAAACTGTTCTAAAAAATGGCAAATTTTGACAGTTGTTAACACAAGACAACAGATCCTAAAATTTGCAATATATCTTAAATCTTAAACAAATCGAAGACAGTAACAGCCAAACGTAAGCGTTTATTTAAAATGGCAAGATAAACACTAAAAAAATTAAAGAACACGTTAACTTTCGCTTGGTATATCTTATGCAATTATAGCCATTGTTTAGAAACTAACTTTACGACAAATGAAAGACTATACATTTCCGTTTTTAACTCATTCATTTTACAGCCAATCAGTGTACTATACTAATTGCCTAACTCAATTAAGTTTATACAACTTATGATTTATGTAACTTAAGCAATATATTTTATACGTAAAAGTCAGAAATGGTATCGAAGCCGTTGATTGCCGCATGCTCCCTCGTTCTCTATTTGGTATTGCTGTTCGCAAAACGGTCACATTGTTTGTTCATTCTGGCTATAATAATGATCTGAATGGGATGACAGACTTGGTACATCGACTCGGCTATTGATGCTGATAAAGAATTTATGGGGTCGAAAAAGCTTCCCTCTGGATATTACATACATCTACACGAAGTCTTTGAGTACAGGGTGTAACCACTGTAGAACAGTTTTACAGCTGCAGTTAGTTCTATTAATACCAGGATTTCTGAAATATATATATACATATATACATACATATATATACCTTAATAGAATTGAAGGGGGGTGAAAGCATCCTATAGGAGTTTGTGTAGCAAACCAGTGTGCCCATCTTTATCAAACATCTTACCGAAGGGAGAACTGCTGTACAGTTATTTTGGGCTTCAAGGTGTTTTTTGATTAAATGCTGGATGTAAAAACCCGCCCATTACTGCTAAGCCAATATGTTTTTTTAAGAATTTAATAATTTTTCTATGGTAATTATGCTCTTGTGCTTTGTTAAGCCGTTTGCTTATTTGCGTTTGCGAGTCTCTTGTACAAGTCTCGTACGTTGGTTTGCGTGGTTGGACTATGAAAAGTACCAAGAAAATGTAACCTTTGCCGTGCTTTTGACAATTTTAATGATTATAAGCTTATTTAGTGCGGAATTAGCTACACTCTATAGTGGAAAAACTAAATTCTAAAAATAGAATAATACCACACAAAAACAAATAATTTTTTTAAGCAAAGTTGACAAAACAATATACATTTTGAAAAGTTCAATATATAAGAAAGACATTGAGGAAAAACTTGTATCAAGAATCATCCGAATCCTATGAGATAATAGTAAAAGAACGTGTCTATAAAAATACCAAAAACGCGAACTTTAGCTTATATTAATAGGTTTTCGGATCACAATTAATGAAATTATATGTCAATTGTGAAATTAGTTACCTTTCAATAAATTTAGAACATAATATCCGGAAAAAATTATATGTAAATCTGTTTCTATCGGCTTTTCAAGATATTTTCCTGGTGGGCCTTTTGGCGGAACTGCCCATATATGATTTATTATCGACCTTTGTTACAGACCTTTACAGAAATAAAATCTTACATATTATCCTCCTTATTTCTAACAAAGCCAGGTGTACAAAAATAATGTTTAATATATGGATTTATATGTTACAGATACTCGGAACTACAATTCCTAGCATCTAGGCGAGCTGCAGCTGTAGCAGCGGCGGCAACTGTGTTACCAGGTTCGCCATGCCTTAACCACGTTCCGATAGCAGATGTTAGTAGCTCGGTGACAGTTCCGCCCTCGTTGACCGGGAATGAAGCAGCGGCATCGGACTCTATAAAAGTGCCGGTTTCTATTCACACACCAATTAATACTGGGAATGTTAGCAACCACACATTACTAGCCAACTCAGCTGGTCACCATCATCATCACCAGCATCAACATATTCATAGTATAAATGTAGGTGGGCAACCTCAACCGCACGATTTCCACCCTGCCTACAGAATTCCCGGATACATGGAACAATTTTACTCTCTGCAACGGAGCAGCCCCACTGCATCCTACCATGGTAGTTACTCTGCTTCATAGCATAGCTGCTAATAGTAGTCAGATTATTAAAAATGTAATTAATGTAATCTCCTTCTGGTAGATCCATATGCTAACTGTGCCTCAGCATTCCACTTGGCCGGGCTTGGATTAGGCTCAGGTGACTTCTTGGGTACGCGAGGTATGGGTTCTCTGGGTGAATTGCATCACGCAGCCGTTGCAGCAGCCGCCGCTGCTGGATCACTGGCAAGTACAGACTTTCACTTTAGTATTGATGGCAACGGACGACTAAATAGCCCGCGGCCGGCTACTGGTAGTATTCGCGCAAGCGTAAGCCGCAAACGCGCGCTGTCTTCATCGCCATATTCGGACTCATTTGATATTAATTCAATGATCAGATTCTCACCAAATTCACTAGCCACGATTATGAATGGTTCGAGGGCAAGCAGTGCCGCTAGTGGGTCATATGGTCATATCGCCGCTAGTGCATTGAGTCCAATGACACACGCCCACACATCAATAGCACCACGTCTACAGCAAATACAAGCACATTTGTTGCGTGCAAGTGCTGGACTTCTGCACCCCATGACCCCGCAACAGGCGGCTGCTGCCAGTTTTTCCATGACCCATGCAGCTAACGCTGCTGCTCTAGGCCTAAGCGATTCCAAACCAAAAGACTTACACTTACCCATTCTTTCGTCGAAATCACCGGTAGCGAGAACAGTTCCAAATGAATCAAAGGAGGTTGCTGCTTTAAAGGTAAGTGTGCTTTTATTTCTACGCAATATGTTAATAGTGTTAGATATTATGTTACATGCTATAATAGAACTTCGACGAGGGAAACCAGAAGGCCCGACAGTTAAAAAACAAACCCATGGAGCAGCCATCATCCACATCTGACAGCGTGGCACAAGTAGAAGCGGATAGCGCCTCTTCGAATTTATTAGAGCGCCGACAACGTAGTAAAGGCTCAGGCAGCACTGGTAATGTTAATGGGATTGGACAGAGTAGCCACGTGGAGGAATTTGTCAACTTTGCCTCTACATCGACTCCATCGAATGAATATGATTGTACCACTGCCGACACAACAGATATTAAGGACGAGCCCGGGGACTTCATTGAAACAAATTGCCATTGGCGTAGCTGTGGCATTGAATTTATGACCCAAGATGAACTTGTTAGGCACATAAATAATGACCACATTCAAACCAACAAGAAAGCTTTCGTCTGCCGATGGGAGAATTGTTCACGAGGTGAAAAGCCATTTAAGGCGCAGTATATGCTGGTTGTACACATGCGTCGCCATACCGGTGAAAAACCACATAAGTGCACGGTATGATTGCTTTTCAATTCATGTTGAAACATTTTTTATATAACATTCATTATAGTTTGAAGGTTGTTACAAAGCTTACTCCCGTCTGGAAAACCTAAAAACACATTTGCGTTCGCACACGGGAGAAAAGCCCTACACCTGTGAGTATCCAGGATGCAGCAAGGCCTTCAGTAATGCCAGTGATCGTGCGAAGCATCAAAACCGAACCCACAGTAATGAGGTAAGTTAATAAAATACTACAATTATCGAAATTTGTAAATTTTGTGTACATTTTTTCAGAAGCCATACGTTTGTAAAGCTCCTGGCTGTACGAAACGTTATACCGATCCAAGTTCGTTGCGAAAACACGTCAAAACCGTTCATGGTGCTGAGTTCTATGCTAATAAGAAACACAAAGGCTTGCCTTTAAATGATGCAAACTCTCAACTAGAAAGGGACAATGGCCAGCATCGACAGCATTTGCAGGAACAGCATATTGACTCAAGCCCTTGTAGCGATGACCTGCATATTGGAAAAATGATAGGCATGTCCAGTCCCAGTATTAAATCTGAATCAGATGCCAATTCTCCACATCATTTAATATCAAATGGTGGTGGCGCCGCAGCTTCCGAATGCTTTATATCATACACGCAAGACGATATTGCCGAAAACGGTGGATTAAATGATTGTTGGAACTGTGATGATGACGTCGATGTGGCCGACCTACCTATTGTCTTGCGGGCAATGGTTAATATTGGGAATGGAAATGCGTCTGCGACTTCTATGGGGGCAACTTCTATGGGTCGTCAGCGCTTTCGCAGTCGACTTCAAACTAAAGGTATAAACTCGTGTACTTCGATGCTTTGCAATATTCCGGAAAGTAATCGTGCCATTGGGATTAGCGAACTTAACAAACGTATTACAGAGCTGAAGATGGAGCCAGGCATGCCAACGGCTCAAGTTCAAGCGCGAGTACCTGCTAATACAGGTTTAGGCGGCTTGCAAGATGATTTATTACAAACTCAATCACAGAATCGCAACACTGCTTTAACTAAGCAGGGCTATGCATCAGTACATAGTTCTCTACAAGCTCAGTATCGACGAGATAGCCAGAACTCCAATGCCAGCACATATTACGGCAGCATGCAAAGTCGTCGTAGTAGTCAATCATCGCAGTTATCGTCTATGTCTACTATGCGACCGAACCCTTCCTATAACACGACATCGGCTTCTCTTTACGACCCAATTTCACCTGGCTGCTCTCGCCGATCCAGCCAAATGTCAAATGTTGCAAGCTGCTATGCCGTGACACCAACAACAGGATCGAATTCCACAGACAAATATGCGAATTTAAACTGTGGCGCTGGTGCACAAATAAACGACAGGCCTGGCAATCCATATTTTGTCCCTAATAACAGTCTTCCGCCTCCTCCGTCTTCACATTTGATTGCAACTAATCTGAAGCGCTTGCAGGGATCAAATGGTATTAGCAGCTATCAACAGGAAAAGGCTTTTCAAAATAGCGGACGTTATTCTACTCCCAATATTATGCAGTCTCCGCATTCTGGGAACTACCGACAGGAAGCAGGGTTAGAGTTCGGTAAATCAGTGCAGAATGGTGTATCTAGGCGACAATCCGAGCCATTATTGCCGAATCTGAGCCTAGAGCCTCATACTTTGAATGACACAAATATGCGAAACTCCAATAATAGGTATAGAACTTGCACAGGTGATACTCATGGGAATGAGTTCAAAACCGGGCAAGAGACCATTCAAATGCAGGATGGTTGCAATGTCCCAGTCACCACTGGGAACATGCTTACGATCCCTGAGCAACATCCAAATGAAAGAGTGAATTTGGATGAAGTTGAAGAGCTCATATTACCCGATGAGATGCTCCAGTATCTTAATTTGGTCAAAGATGATGATAAGCTGTTGTCTGGAAGGGGGCATGAAAATAGAGATACCTCAACTGGCGTAGCAAACCCCTCATCAGCTATTGATAATCAAGATCGACCACCTGGAAATTTATTAAATCAGCAGTTGGCGTCACATACCTCGAACCTAGACATATCAGTAGCAATTCGACCGTATAGTACGTCGCATCAAAATGGACGTGCCTTCGGCATATTATGCGCACAAAGAGATCAGATAAACGCATCTGAACTCCGTCGTCCTGCACAGACTGTATGTAATAATTTCTCGCAGAGATTTGATAATGGCCAATACACCCAACTCCAAGCACTATCTTTTGAGCAACAACCAATAACAGCAACCCAGAATCAAATTATAGATTCATCAATGACAAGTTTACCAGAGATAACGGATATTTCTACTAATACACCAATAGCTTCAGATGATAAAGGCCTATTGAATAGTGAACATCAAAACAATAACGTAAATGAGATTCAATGCGGTGTCATAAGCCAGTCACAAATGTCACCATCTATTAACACAAATGGCACTGGCCAAGTGCCGACCATAAGGCCACAAACCCATAGTTCAAGTAAATTCCCTATAAAACCCGCCTTAAAAAATGTTCAGCTTACGTGTCTCTCTGCGATGAGCCCAAAAATCGTAACTGAAAACCAACTAAATAATGTAACTTCAATGCATTTAGAGACTTACCAACGTACCCTGGAATATGTTCAAAGTTGTCAAAACTGGATGCAGACAAACAACGCCGTTGCGGGCCATGTTCATGCTACTGGAACCACCGCTATCACCAACATGCAAGTTTCTAGCAACAATCCCGTGTGGCCGGACGTAAGCAGCTCGACTCACCCCCATGCGGGAATAAATATGGTTATCAACGATATGACTACATCACTGACCTCACTTTTAGAGGAGAATCGATATCTACAGATGATGCAGTAGAGCTCTGCGTCAAAAAAAACAATGGGACTAAAACTGCGAAACCGCCTGCGAGATTATTAAATATCCGACTCAAGTCACGAAGTTCATATTTTCATATAAACAAGACAATCCAATATTTATTGTTTAGATTTGAGTGGAAAACAAAACCCAAAAGAAGCCCCACTTGCATGTCGTATATACATGCTATATATGAATATATGAATTGACTATTTAATTTTCAAGTATTATTTTTTCTATTATAACTAAGAATATTGAAAAGGCCATTTGATAAAAAAAGGACTATTAATTTTTTAAGATATACATACAAAATGATAACTGCCTGAAAGCATAGATGAACTAAAATGCTTTTAAGTACTAAGGTAATATTATACAATCTTGACATGTGTCTTCCAAATCATTGATATGATTTAATTCCCTGTAATACAAATATTCATATTTTTGTAACAAAAATTACACTTGTTTTTTACACCTACCTAAACACATATTTAGACATTTAAGTAATCTACAATAAACCATGTTCCCGACTTTCTTTCTTGAAGAGATTGATGGTCAGAGCAAGACACCCTTTAATGCTAAGGTATATTGGGAGAGAGAGAGCACGCGTGATGCAGGAGAGTCATTATGGAATATAAAGACTTTATTGGGTCGAAAACGCTTCTTTCTGGCTGTTAAATATATTTTTACGCTTACACTTAGGTAAGTACCTAAATTCTGCGTCAAAAACATTCCGAGCTGATTTTTAATCAAACTGATTGGAAAATTGTAAGTCGCTTGTGAGAGTCGGATGCAAAATAAATCTGTTGCGAATGGAACTGTGGTATAAATCCGAGCTGACAATATCGGCTCACTATATAGGAGATAGATGCCATGAGCGTAGCAGACAAACAAGACAAACTTACAAGTCATTCGATAACTTATATGTGCATCATGCTTTTAGTCAAAGTGGATGTGTTGAACGCAGAGAAGGATACGTTTCCGACCCCATAAAGTATATATATTCTTGATCAGCATCAATAGCCGAGTCGATATAGCCATGTCTGTCTGTCCGCCCGTCTGTCCGTCTTGATGAGCGCCTAGAACTCGGAGACTATAAGAGCTAGCAGAACTAAATGTTTTTTTTCCATACATGTGATATCACGTTGTTACAAGGGTATTTTCGTCCCGCCCCTTCCGACAACACAATGGACGAAAATGTGTGGCGTCCACAATTTTAAATATACAAGAAAGCGAAAAACGCAGTATCGTAGAAAATTACCATATCTTTTAGATTGCCGAATCTGGTTAAGATCGGATCATTATTATAGCCGGAATGAAGAACAAAAATTTCGGATGCTTTGATTTTAAAAGTTGGCATGAATTGAGAAGTTGTAATACTCCGCTCCTAATGAATTCGTTTGAAAGCAAGAGTTATGTTTTCTGTTGTTCGATAGGAAATGCTTTGATACATCCAGCAAGTAGAGTTTTCAATGGCTCCGGTTTTGCCGGATGGAACGTGTTAGTCGCTTCTGGGGACTCAATTGTGGACGCCACACATTTTCGTCCATTGTGGGTGCGGCAGGGGGTGGGACGAAAATACCCTTGTAACAACGTGATATCACATGTATGGAAAAAAACATATAGTTCCTCTAGCTCTTATAGTCTTAGAGATCTAGGCGCTCATCGAGACTATTGGCTATTGATGCTGATCAAGAATATTTATACTTTATGGGGTCGGAAACTTTTCCTTCTCTGCGTTGCGCACATCCACTTCTATCACAAATACAATTTACCCCTTAGCTCTTTTTTGATTACGGGTATAATTACTTAACTTATTGTTACTTTGAGTATTTACAAGATTTTTATTAAAACATACGGGACAATTGGGGCGTTACTGGGGGTTGTGTAATTAGCTTAGGACAAAGCTTCGTCAGGTAGCGCTATGCCTGTGCATTTATAATTTGCGGATATACCAATCAGCTCCAGTTGCCAAGCGGGGGACCTTGCTCTGGAACACCCTGAACCTATTCAGGTGGGATTTGGCTGCCTTTGACCTTGTAGATAAGGATCTTGTTGGATATGCTTAGCTTGCTGTTGGGTTTTAGGAGCCAGTAGAGCTGGCCTTCGTTTCCAGGGGCACCTCTAACCATCTTGATGTGTCTGGCAAAGGTCAGGCGAGTGTCTAGAGTAACTCCCAGGTATCTACACTCCTTCCGCAGCTCTATCATCTCACCGTGTAGGAGGACTCAGGGCACGTTTCTCTTCGAAGCGTGTGGGTCACCACCACGCACTTCTCCGGGTTCACCGAGACATTCCTTCGACACGCCCAGTTCTCGAATTGCTTCAGGTACCGCTGGAGTTTGTCTGTGGCATCATATACACAGTCAGCTCTCGACAGTACTACCGTGTCGTCTGCAAAAGTTGCAATCTGTAGGTCGATCGACTGGGACGGTGTTCTGGCGTAGCTTTTCGGCATGTCATGAGTGAGCGGACTGTACAGTGTTGACCCGAGTACACTGCTTTGCGGGACTCCTGTTCGTATGCCCCTCTCTGAAAAGACCACCCCGTTTCGCGCTACCCTGAATGTTCGGTCCTTCAGGAAGCTGCCGATTAGCTGATATGGCTGAGACTTGATCTTTGCTAGCAGAGCGGCGTGCCATACCTTGTCGAAGGCTTGCTGGATATCCACGCTGTCCGCGTGGAACCCGTGCAAAATAAACTCCATTACCCTGTGTAGCTAATCCGGAGTACCATGTCTCATTCTAAACCCAAACCGGAAGTTTGGTATTGCTCTCTTTACCGCTTGGATTCATTCATTAGCCTCCTCAGGATGCACCGCTCCAGAAGTTTGCTGAAGGTGGGAAGCAGACTAATAGAGTAACCCACGTCGTCAGGGGCTTCTAGGCTCTCGGGAAGTGACTCAACTTAAGCGCAGCATTGAATATGAGCACCAGGAACAGTATTGCTCTATGGGGCAACGCCTTTGCAACTCTGTTGTCGATTTTGTCGTATCCCGGGGCCTTTTTCATCATCAGCTTCCTGATCTCGTCCTTAACTTCCTGCAGCGTTAATGGAGCCACTGGGAGCTCCAATTGGTGTGCCTCTGCCAACTTGGCGGTGACCAGGCAGGCTCTTCTTGGTGATGTCATTTGGAAGGGTTGGAACCTTTCCTAAAGGTTGGCAGCAAACGCCCCGATCCTATCAGAAGCCTTCCTTATGGGAAAGATTGGCGAGGCTTGCCTTTTACATCGGCCAGTGAGCTTCCAGAGCACGTAATTGGAGCCTAAGTCTGCAGTCGCCTCTTCCAACATTCTGTCGCAGGCCTCTGCCCTCGACTTGGCTTTTTCCGCAACCGATTTGACACCCTTCTGTAGAGTCGATTAACCATCCTCCGAGTACGTCCCTAAACAAGGAAAAAAAAAACGTAACAAACACACTCTGCTGTCCGGACTGCGAAGACTGTACCTCTGGCCATAGTCACTGACACGGACAGTACGAGGAGCTGCAGACCAATCTGCAGGCACCGAAATAATATCACAATTCAACACTGACAACTAGATCAAGGCTCTACTTGTTTAAATCGTTTATCGTAGCTTTAAAATTGTGCCTGCCACAGATTTTCGTCCTTTGTGGAGGAGGAAGGGGGACGTGGCGAAATTTTGAAATCCACCTGTAACAGTGTGATATCACAGCAGTCTGGATACAAAATTTGGTTACTCTAGCTCTTATAGTCTCTGAGACAGACATGTCTATGTCGACTCGGCTATTGTTGCTGATCAAGAATATATATACTTAATGGGGTCGGAAACGTTTCCTTCTCTGAGTTACACACATTCACTTTTACCACAAATACAATTAACTCTTTTTGAGTACGGGTATAATTATATATGTTATTTCACCAAACACACTGACCGCTAAATCAAAGCAATACTTGATCAAAAAACACTAAAATCGCGATTAAAAGTTATTGGGTGGTAATATGAAGATCAAAAGTACTTTACGACCTAGGCGCAGAAGATTAAATGTACTTTACGACCTATGCGCAGACCTAATATACGACAAAAATTTCATGAAAATCGGTCGAGCCGTTTTGGAGGAGTTCAGTCACAAACACCGTGACACAAGATTTTTATATATAGCCTATTACTCAGATCAAAATATTTCATTTGGTTTTTTTGTTCTCATATTGCAATGTTTGCTTCGTGATTGCTGGCAAAATATATCAAATTGATATAATTTTCGAGGTGGGTATAAACATACCAAAAAAAACAAGCAAATACATTCGGATACTTTTCTAGTATATGCCGAACTTTTTTTTTGTTGAGCCTAGTACTCAGATCGAAAATACCTCGCGAACAGAATCAGGGTTGATATTCGTATGAAACCGATAAGACATTTTTTAACGTAAAAACTGTTTTCTAGGCTCTGTACGGAAGGCAGTACCACTAACCATACAGTATATAGATGTGCCAGTTCATACAACGAAAGGGGCGCAGCTGAGTTTGCAGCGTACGTTCCCAGATCTTTGGCTTTGGGAATGGCCGCGTTGGGCTCATGACGTCACACGAGCCGACTGGCAGCAAGCATGCATGTGTTGTGTACGTGACACTCCAAAATATATGACTGTATGCATAGAATAATTTTTAGCTGCCGAAACCGACTTTGTTCGAGATTTCAGTTTACGTAAACGTGTGTGTGCCATGTATTCACACATACTGTGCTTGTGTGTGGGCTCTACAATTTTTGGCCGCTTGAATTGGTTTTTCATTTTGTTTTGAGGGCTGATGTGATGTAGCGACCTATTCAGGGCCGCATCAACCCTCAACCGGGCCCTGGGCAACCATCAATCTGGGGCCCTCCTTTATTTTGTATTTTTCTCAGTGGCTATTATATTTTTTATTCATTATTTGGAGTTCTGTTTTTTTAACAAAATTTTTCTGTTATCCCTAGGGGGCCCTAGGCAACTGCTAATCCGGCCCTGGACCTATTCCAGTCGTAAGACTTCATATTTTCTTGGTGTGTTCTTTAGCTCGACTCGACGCGGGTTGAGGCATTGACGAAGCGGTTCATAAAATATTTTTTCGTTTTGTTTTGAAAAGCTGATGTTGCGACGGGCGCGCGGTTCTCTTTTAGGCTAGCCTTTGCCTCTGCTTTCGGCTTCGTCAACAGAAAGCGACAATACACCAAGAAAATATGAAGTCTTACGACTGGAATAGGTCCAGCCGGATTAGCAGTTGCCTAGGGCCCCCTAGGGATAACAGAAAAATTTTGTTAAAAAAACAGAACTCCAAATAATGAATAAAAAATATAATAGCCACTGAGAAAAATACAAATAAAGGAGGGCCCCAGATTGATGGTTGCCCAGGCCCGGTCTAGGGTTGATGCGGCCCTAATAGGTCGCTACATCACATCAGCCCTCAAAACAAAATGAAAAACCAATTCAAGCGGCCAAAATTGTAGAGCCCACACACAAGCACAGTATGTGTGAATACATGGCACACACACGTTTACGTAAACTGAAATCTCGAACAAAGTCGGTTTCGGCAGCTAAAAATTATTCTATGCATACAGTCATATATTTTGGAGTGTCACGTACACAACACATGCAT